ATACAAAACAAGCACATCCCCAATATAAACTCTGCAAAATATAAAAGTCCTAATCGGGATAACTTGTCAACAATCATGCAAATAACAGATTAAATATTCAAAGCAAAACGACCAATGGCCGGAAAATAAATAAAGCGACCACTTGGGCCGAAATTGTGCGAATATTACATAAACGGGCAATAGCCCGGGAAATAAAAAATATTATAAAAAACGGCACGCAGGCCGAAACAAATGCACAGTCACCCCTTATGTTCTCCTTCGATGATAGGCGACAGTCGAGCAGGATCCCCAGCCGGTTGATTGATGACATCTCTTAGGTAGTCGGGAACCATAATTTGTCTGTCAGCCACATAGTAATTAACCCTCATGCCCGAAGTGTTGAGCTCAACATCGGGATTCAACACACGTATCTGATTCACAGCGTTGTCGAAGCTCCCCTTGAAAGCATCCTGGGCATCATCCACTGCAAGCTGAAAACGGGCTACTAGCTCGGCCCGAGTCTTCAGGTCCTTGGTATCCTCTGGTTCGTCCTCGGCGGGCGCTATCTTAGCAGTCAAGGCCTCCACCTTCCCCTCGAGACTCTCTCTCTCTTGAGTATAAAAGTGTTGTGCTCCTCAGATAATTTCCTCGACTCTGCCTCGTCCAGCTCTAGGGCTTTGTCTTTATCGACCAAGGCCTTCTCGATCGCTGCCAACTTGGCCCGGAGGTTCTTGATTTCTATCTCTTGGGATGAACTCCTCTCGGTATACGCGACGATCATATCCAAGATCCTCATCAAACCACCCGCGTCTTGGGCCAGCATCACCCCCTTATCTGGGAGGCTCGTTCCCTTGAGAAGGAGAGATTCAGTCCTAGGAAGACGAAGCGTCGCGCTCTCGAAAAAAGACCTCTCCAGTCAGCAAGGAGGCAGATCATAATCCCCTTTTCCCATCTCCCCGGTAAGGTCAATGCTCCCCTCAGGTCGAGGCCTCTTCGCCTTCGAGGAAACAATAGACAGAGACAAAGCAGCTGTGGACGGAGTCGAGGACAACCCACCTGATCCAGGAGCAGGAACTGGCCCCGCGCTAGTCTGGGCATCCTTCTTGGCCTTTCTCGCTCGAGCAGCGAGTGTCTTGGCTAGACGTTCTTGAGCATGATTCATATTTTATGCAAAACAAAGAAAAAACAAGAGTCAGTAAAACGACGGGTCAAACAAACAACGACCACATACTGGAAAAAGAAAATTTGTAACCAGATATCTAACATGATCCTCACTCTCAAGGAGCTCCCGCACATTTATGAGACCCGACTCGAACACAGACTCCCCGTTTTTGTCCAGCACTGGCCGACCTCCCCGACCGACTCGCTGGACTGGAGGAATTCGAGCTACAAACAAGGTCAAAGTGGTGAAGCTCGACAGGTCCTCATCCCCAAGCTCCCCCTCTCTTTAGACATAGGAGCCCAACTCCTTCACAAAATGTCTGGTGGTCCATTGGAACTGGAACTTGGCGACCAGCATCGTGGTAGGCTCCCCCAACTCGTTTATACGAGGAGTCTCGTCCTCGTTGAGAGACGACCGGCTCCTAAAAACGTTCAGCAACTCCTTCGTCGATGTGGGCTGCACCAAAATGTACTTGTCCTTAAAATGGCGCACGGACTCCAAGTAGACCTTGAACAACTTCTTGTTGCCCTATTTGAGGGAGATCCATCCCCACCGTCCGTTAGTGTTGCTCCTCTGGATGTGAAAAAAATAGAAGAACAGCGGGATCGTGGCCCATATCTTTAGATAGTCGCACACTATCTGGAACGCCCGTACAAACGCAATCTCGTTCGGGTGCAACTGGGAGGGTGTTGGCTCCTAAATTCGACACCTTTGTTTTGATTGATGTTAGCCATCAAAAGCTGAAGGATGCTTTCGACTGGCTAAGTCTGTCGAAGTGCCCGTCGAAAGATGGCAAAGTATTTAGAAGATTTCTTCCAAGGAAGAAGGCTGATTGCCTTCGACGTCGAAGGAGTTTCTCGTCGAAGATGTCTCTTGACGAAAGTGTTCGATGGTCCAGAGTGGAGCAGTTTGAAATTCAAGCGTTTGGAGGGAAAACGGTTTCCAGCAGTTACCACGTGCAAACGTGCAAGGATCTGGAGCGTCGAGCATGGAGAACGTGCCAAGTGGATTGATCTCGAAGCAGTGTAACTGCCCGACGGTTACTTGGGATGTTTTAGTATAAATAGGAGTAGACATGTAGTTTCTCGCGTGTGTTCACAATTCTATACAAAGTCACTCATATAGATTCGAGTACCCAGCGTGTGAGAAAGAATTGTTGAGAAATGTATGTGTGAAACACCAATTTTATCAATTAAAGTCATTTACTTTTCCAGAATTTTACTTGCTTTTCTCTTTACATTTCCTGTCGAAACCCTTTACTTTAAAGCCTTGTTTATTTTACCAAGTCTTTCCTTCATGCAATTTACTTGAAACCTTTTTATTTAAAGCCTTATCCACCTTAATCAAACTTCAAAATCAACCTATGTCCTAGGATCAATCTGATCGATCCTGCGAGTAACCAAATAAGTAACCATTTGGAGGATCAGCGGTTGTTTACCAAAACCCAAGGTAAACAGAGGGGGCACGTGCAGATGCCGAAAAATGGACACTTCAAAGTCAGAAAAAGGAAGGCGAAGACCCATCTCCCGGAATACTATATCGTACATAGGAATCTGCCTCCTGTCATATCTTGAGCAGATCCTGTTGTCTTTCCTGGGAATATACAATGACCACTCCTCCCGGACTCCTTCCTTGTAAACATCGGTGAAAACGTCTTCCCCGTGCTCATAAAAATATGATCGCCACTCCCAAGGGTCTTTCGCTACCCAATCTCGAGGATCCTCGTCATCTCGAGGAGGAAACAGGCCGACCCGAGCTGAAGAGGTCACCTCCATGTCAAGCTCCCCCATCTTTTAATCCGGATGGTTTTGCTGCTCCCCGGAGATTTCCAATATGCTCGATGACCTACCACTAGTCTTGCTCGAAGAGCTCCTGGAGGATTTCGTAGACTCGCTTGAAATGACAACATATGCATCGTCAGCCATAGCACCTGAAAAGCAGAGGAAAAAGGTGAGCTCGACATCAATTCCAGAACCACCAGTCCACCTCTAAACAAGTGAAAGAGAGATGGGAGACGAGGATTCTATCCCCAACCAGAACCCTCGCTGAGGTACGCTGACGGGCATAAAATGCAGAAAAAGCCCAGAAGTCCCCTGAGGTACTCTAACGGTCACAAGTTGCAGAAAAACTCAAACCCTAACGGATCACCTATAACACAGCGCCAGGCCCCCGAGGGAACCCCGCCGCGGCTCCGGCAGCCATGCGTCGCAAGAACGACGTCCGCCACCTAGGGTCTCTAACGATCTCCTCCCTAATAGAACCCTAAATCCTAACCACATGCATATCTAAGAGGAAAAAAATGAAAGTACTAGAACATGCAACAATGGAGGAACGGAAACTCAACAAGAGAAGAAGAAGAGATGAAGTTGGATGACCGCAAACAAAGAAACTGAGCAAATGCTGGTGGTCGACTGTCGAACTAATACGAGCAGTTGAAGGAGAAGGCGAAAAATACTAATCGCCCTGTTCCTCTCGTATTTATAGCTAAAACGGCCCGCGCGTACCAAACATGCGCCTTGGGAACCCCAGGGTCGTCATTATGACGCCCTAGCCCTAGGCCATCATTTGCGCCGCTCGACCGACAAGTTTCCCAAAACACGCTACCTCTCCAAATTCAACGGTCCCAACGGCAAATGTTTCGCCTCCCCGACAAAGAAGTATAACGGGCAAATGCTCATTTCCCCGTCCTTCGAGCAGACATCAAAGTCTTCACTCTTGTGCCCAGAAGCAACGACTTAGGGACTACTGTTCTAGACTGGCCTGAAAGTTTGAGTGGACCCAGTCTAAGACATCTCACAGGGGCCACCCACCGACCGTGACCAGGACTACCTACGCATGTCGGGCAATACCACCCTCTTGTCCTTATGATCCAGCTCTGATCCAAGTTGCCCGTCGAGCATCTTCTCAGTCTTCCTGACTCCAGCGTCGTGCAGACCACCAGGAACCGACCAGAGAGATGCCCGCAATCAGCCTTCTCCTCGGAACCAACAGCTAATTACGGCACATTTGTCCAGTTTGACCATATCCTGGAAGTTACCTGATTTTCGGGACCCACATATCTAGGCGAGAAATCAGGAATCAATGGCCACGCGTCAGGGACAGTATATAAACCCTCACACCTGTGAGGACCAGGTATCACATACTCACTACTCACTACCTGATATTTTGCTAGTACCTTCTTGCTCTCACTCTTACTTGATCGTTAGAGTATCTTGCAGGTACAACCCCCTCTCTCCTCCATCCGACTGAAGATCATCCTCCGGTCACTCCCCAGATTCTGATCAACCGCAAGATCAATTTTTATAAAATAATTGTTATTCGATCTTGAAATTTGGAAGAACTCTAAGCAGAACATAAATAAAAACATGAAAAAGAAACAAAATGTCAAGAGATTAGGTCTAGAAGAGTCTTTTGTCTTAAAATAAAAGATAAAAAGAGTATTAAACCTAATCTATCTCTAAACATTTAACTAAATTTTATAATATTCACCGATAAACAATCACAAAATCCTCACACCTTTTTATCTTTCCTACCTCTTTCTTTCTTCTCATTTTTCTTCCAACCAAACGTACCATAATTGATATGAAAGAAGCCGTATCCCAGAGAGTGTGACTCATATTGTTGTTAATCTAAATCTAATAGTTTCATATTTCATTCATGCACACTGCAATAACGACTTGCACCTTGGTGGAAGAAAGCAATTTCAATATTTTCAAAGAGAATGCTTCAAAACTCTGTTGTTCCACACCAGAGTCCAATTTTGACGCAAAAATATAGTCCATGGAAACAGAGTCGCATTTATTTATATTTATCACTGTAATCATTCATAAACCTCAGAGGTTGTTCTGTCCCAAACCAAATGGCACCAGTTTGGTCCTCATGCTCAAACCGTTTTGTTCTCGCAGCAACCAAACTCCAATCTCACACTTGTTTCACCACCGCCATTGTCATTCCTCTCTATCACTACAGTACCATTCCTCAACCATATCAACCGAACCCACCAAACCCTTCACCCAAATTAGTGCCTTTACAACTCCACAAACAAAACCAATCAATACCCATTTCATTTTCTTCCTTAAACTACAAAGAATCGATCATTTCTGCCATAAAGTCTATTTCCCATAAGACCCATTTGCTCCAAATCCATGCTCGCATTCTCACCACAACCCTCATTCAAGACCCTGCAGTTTCTCATCACTTCTTATGCCGCGTATCTCTCTCTGGCCCATTGCAAAACCCTGACTATTCTCGACGTTTCTTTGAGCAAATCAGTTACTCTTTTGTTTCCCACTACAATACCATGATCAGAGCTTATTCCTTGAGTGACTCACCTCAAAAATCTCTTTTTTTATATCGAGATATGAGGAGAAGAGGCATTGCCGCTAACCCTTTAACGTCTTCCTTTGTTGTTAAGTCTTGTATCAGGTTTTTGTATCTTCTTGGAGGCGTTCAGGTTCATTGCAACATTTTTAAAGATGGGCATCAATCAGATAGTCTTTTGCTCACTGCTCTCATGGACTTGTATTCACAATGTCAGAAATATGATGATGCGTGTAAGGTGTTTGATGAAATGCCTATGAGAGATACGGTGGCTTGGAATGTGATGATCTCTTGTTGTATTCGAAATAATCGGACCCGGGATGCTTTGAGCTTGTTTGATGTTATGCGGAGTGAAAACTATAAATGTGAGCCTGACGATGTAACTTGTTTGCTTCTTCTTCAAGTGTGTGCTCGTTTGAATGCCTTGGAATTTGGTGAACGAATTCATAGTTATATTATGGATCATGGCTATGGAGGTGCTATGAATTTGTCTAATTCTCTCATATCAATGTATTCGCGGTGTGGTTGTGTAGATAAGGCTTATGAGGTGTTTATGGGAATGAAGAATAGAAGTGTTGTTTCGTGGAGTGCAATGATATCTGGTTTGGCAGTGAATGGATATGGGAGAGAAGCTATTGAAGCATTTGAAGAGATGCAGAGAAATGGCATTCAGCCTGATGATCATACATTCACGGGCGTCCTTTCTGCTTGCAGTCATTCTGGCTTGTTAGATGAAGGGGTGTCGTTTTTCGACCGAATGATTTCCGAGTTTAGGATAACACCTGCCATCCACCATTATGGCTGCATGGTTGACCTCATGGGTCGTGCTGGCTTACTTGATAAGGCCTACCAGCTTATCACGTCGATGGAGGCAAAGCCAGATTCCACAGTTTGGAGGACCTTGCTCGGGGCGTGCAGAATTCATGGTCATGTTACACTTGGTGAACGAGTAATTGAACACTTGATTGAATTGAGAGCTCAAGAAGCTGGAGATTATGTTTTGCTTCTGAATCTTTATTCTTCTGCAGAACAATGGGAAAAGGTTGTAGAAGTTAGAAAACTAATGAAACAAAATTCAATCCAAACCACACCTGGTTGTTGCACAATTGAACTTAATGGAGTTGTACATGAGTTTGTCGTGGATGATATTTCACATTCAAGAAGAGTTGAAATTTATAACACACTGGATGAGATTAATAAGCAGCTGAGGATAGCTGGTTATGTTGTTGAACTTTCATCTGAACTGCATAAGATGGATAACAGAGGAAAAGGGTATGCGCTCTCTCACAGTGAAAAACTTGCTATTGCATTTGGGGTTCTTGTCACTCCACCAGGCACGACGGCATTGAGAGTGGCCTCTAATCTCCGCATTTGTGTTGATTGCCACAACTTTCTGAAACTTTTTTCTGCGGTTTACAACCGGGATGTTATTCTCAGAGACCGTAAGCGGTTTCACCATTTCCGGCAAGGGCATTGCTCCTGTAGTGACTATTGGTAGATATATGAAAAGTAGGTGAAATGATTTTGAAGAGCCACAAAATGGGTGAAGGCTAGCTCACCATTGACTTTATTCGCCTTTTATTTCAAAGCACCTTGCTGCAGTTAGCCCGCGACTAAGGGCCATAGCTTACTCTTGCTGAATGTGGTTGATAGATCAAGTAACTTTGTTCGGGCTGTGCAAGATATTGAACATCTGCCAAACAACGAACGCTAAGTGTGTGTGAGGGACATGAAAAGGGTTACTAATATCTCTATGATACATCTGAGAAATTTTATTTATACCGAAGGAGATCTATTTTTGGGTTAGTACACTAATATTGAGCAAGTGTCATTTGACAAAAGACAGGGAAGGTTTGTCATGTGGTACCCAAGAGGATTTTGTTCCTCATCTGCATGTTTGGTTTATATCAATTTCTCTGAATGATATTTAATTTTTGTGGAGTTCGTATATGACTTTCATATAACAATGCCAATTGACATGTTGTACACTTGATTTATAGAAAAGCAGCATAAATGATATTTTGACACACAATGTAGACAGTTAATTTCCAAAATAATTTAGATCATTAATTCATTTTAAATATGTGGGTTAAATATATTTGGTGTATGATATAACAAACTGTTCCAACTTATTAATCATCTATTGAATTTGATTACTAACACAACCAACAGTGATTAAGATACAAGTAGAATATGGGTTAAAAAAATACAAGTAAAATATGTTGTTGTTTTCTGAAAAATAAACCAACAATATCACCCAATTTTCTCATTAAATAAAACAGCATGTATTAAACATCATAATATTCTGTCATCAATTCTAAAAAAAAAAAATTGTAACTTGAGAAATTTCTACCGACAGTGTGTAAACTAATCCAGATTTTGTATCACATTTACTAATCCTTTCTCTCCTTTTTCTATCACATTATTATTCATCCCTTTTTTTTTCTGTTGTCTTCCTCTCTTGCTTACATCACACACAAACAAGGTTAAAAGTGTAAGAGAATCAATATTCTAGTGCATAAAAATCTATTACCATCCCTGCAGAGTCAACAAATAAAAATCAATATATGCAGACCCTATGACTAACACAAGTTATTAAATCAGGGAAACAAGTTATTTAAATGTTCGTATGTGTATCTATGTATGTACAAATGGCTTTGAGAAGTCACTGCTGATGCAACTTCTACTGTTTTTGAATTTGCTCCAGATTATAAACATAACAAAGAGGGAATGCTTAGATGTAAAAGATTAAAACACAAACGGGTCTAATGGCCATATTATTCCAAATGCAAAGTTTACATTTTCTTATTCTGGTAGTACATTATAGTAACAATCTATTGATATTTCTGATCAAAACTAAAGCTCAAAATAGAGAACAGAAATGGAATCCCCCACCCGTTCAACTAACAAGTCTCGAAGCAGAATTGATACAACGGAAAATTCAAGTCCTAAATTCTGGAAGCAGTAAATGATTCTACAGTAAATCTGAAACCTAAGTTCTCTAAGTAGTATTCATGCTCTTAAAATCCATAACCCAAGACTTCATCCATTGACATTCTCACAAAAAGACACGAGATTATTGCATAAATGTTTCGCAAAATAAGTTAAGCGGTAACAGTTTGCTTTTGAGCAAAAGCAACCCCCTTCTCGATACTGGCCTTAAGTTCTGGCTTGAGTGCTTCCAAAGCCTTCTGCTCGTACTCACTCAATCCTTGGAGATCAGTTGGAATTAAAGCCTCGACTCCTTTCCTACCAATCTTCACCCTTGAAGCAAAAAACGGAAGGTCGGTCAGATCTGACTGTACATATGAGCATTCGTACACATCAGCATCTCCATCAAGCGCACGAAGAGACGATTCAACAAATCTAGCTGCTGCATAAGCCATTGACAAAGTTGCAGACCCTGTACCAGCTTTTGCCTCAACAACTTCAGTTCCAGCATTTTGAATCCTGACAGTTAGCTCCTCAATCTCTTCATCACTGAAACTCGTTGAGGGTTTTGTCTTTGACAATAGAGGAAGAATGGTAATCCCAGCATGGCCCCCAACAACAGGAACATCTACATCAATCAGCCTCAGGTTCTTCTTCTGTGCAACAAAAGTGTTTGCCCTCACAACATCAAGCGTACTAACACCAAAGAGCTTTTTAGGATCATAGACACCCTTTTGTTTCAGAATTTCAGCAGCAATAGGCACAGTAGAATTCACCGGATTGCTGATAATATGAATAAAAGCCCCAGGGGCATTATCTGCAACGGCGGAGACCAGGTCTCTGACTATACCAGCATTAATGTTGAAAAGGTCATCACGAGTCATGCCAGGTTTCCTAGGAACACCGGCGGGTATAACAACAACATCAACACCTTTCAAACAATTCGCTAACTCAGCAGCTCCCGTGAAATCCACAACTTTTGAAGGAGTGTTGCAATGACTAATATCAGCTGCAACTCCCTTAACGTTGGCGATATCATAGAGATGCAGGTCGGAAACCAAAGGCGACATCTTGATGAGAAGTGCCAGTGGCTGACCAATCCCTCCCGCAGCACCGAGAACCGCTACTTTGTAGGATGCCTGTGGCTGCAAGTTGTGGTTGAGGTTTCGGTTTTCTTTTACAGCTTTGGGAGCAAAAGTTGCACGAAGAGCAGCACAAGTTTCATTGCCGGAGAAAGATGACATGGCAGATGACATGGCCTTGAGGCCAGAGAAGTTTCTGAAATTAACCTGGGAATTGAATTTGAAACCAAAAGGGTTTGATTGAGGAAGTAACCTCCCTGTTTGGGCGGTTCCAATAGAAAAAGTAGCTGCTGATGCTGCTGCCGCCATCTCAACCTCTGAATACACAAAATCCATTAAGTTCCAACCAAAAAAAAAAAAGTAAGCCTGTTTGGGAGAGCTTTGGAAACAGCTTATGGCATGTTTATAAGTTGTTTTCAGCTTATTTCCATAAGCTCTGCATGATGACAGATTATGTAAACAATTTGATTTCAGTTTAATTTTGTTATACGAATAGCTTAAACATGAGAAGTTAACGAAGGTGTTTATCCAAATACGACCTAAATACATTGAAAACTACAAGTATGGGTTATTCATCACAAAATATACTAATATACAAGTAGATAAAAAGCAAATCTAAAGGACAAAACAATAACATAGTGTGAATTTAACAGTTTGTGAGCATGATTTACAATGAAAAGAAGAAATATAATTGGATTATGATTAAGAGAACAGATCTGGTATAAATGAAACATAGAAAATGATAATTGAATTGAAAATGAGATCTGTGGAAGAGGGAGAGAGAAGAAGAAACGTACCTGGGAATGGTAATGGGAATTGGGAGGAGAAGTTGAGGGAGAGAAAGAGAGAGATATAAATGGGAAAATGGGTTTGAAATCTCCGCTGAGGGTCGAAGACGAATGGTATTGGTAGTGGTGATACTAATACTACGTGCTATCGAATACCCACCTAACCAAAGGTAAAGTAAGTGCATTACCGTCCCTAGAACCAAACAAAACTGAATAAATCACAGAATCTACTCCTAAGTCACTATCATATCACATCTCAACCGTTCGATTACTTCCCATTACGTTACTTATTTTACCTTTTTAGTTATACAAAACCTCAACTGCTTTAAAGCCAATCATATGACATGCAAACTTATTTATAGGTTCCGTTTGGCAATTTTTAGCTTTCATAAAAATAGTTGATAAATTAATTTTTAGACTATGTATAATTCGAAGAGAATGATGAAAAAATTATTCAATAGTTGAATAGGTGTAATAGGATGTTGAATAAAGACTTGAAAGCGAGGTGTATTAATATGTGTTGAAAACACTTAACATGTTGAATGAGGAGGGAGTGAGGTCACAAATTTTATTGATGATTGTGATTGTTTAAATTTTTAATTGACCTTAATTATTTGGAATCGATTATTTTATAATAAATTTATTTTTTATTTATTTTTATTTTCATCAAAATTAATCATTTTTTCTATAAATATATATTTGGTTCATTTGATTTTGACACACACAAAAAATCTACTTTTTTTCTCTATTTTTTCTATTTAACCTCCAATAAACTTTTGTTTTATCCACTTAATGACTATCCCTATAAAATTAGAAAAAAATTAAAATAAATTAAGAATATAAAATTAGAAAAAATTAAAATAAATTATTAAATTAAAATAAATTAAAATAAATTATTTAAATCTTAATTATTTTAATTTTATTTCAATTGATAATTGATATTAATATAAAATCATAAAAACAAAAATATAAAAGAAAATAAAAATATGAAATAAAAGTGGTGGGTAGGGTGTTGAATTTTATTGAACAAAACCAGTGGATAAAAGTTAAATGGATGTTGAATTATTAGCGGGAAGAAAGAAAAGATGATGTAGAGTATAAAAAGTAAAAAATGAGAGTGTTGAATATGTAAACTATTGTACATAGTCTTAGGAGTAGACATGACAAATAAATCTGAATCAACTTGGATACGATAGCCTCCGCCATAAATTTAATGGAAAAAACTTCTTTAATTGAGGGTAGAGGCGAGGGAAAGTGCGAGCAAAATCCAAATTTTATTACGAAGGTAGGGGCTAGGATGCTAATACCCGTCCCGCAATCATTCTCACTTTGCTCTCGTCTATTAAATTTAATTTATTTTATCTTATTTTTAATAATTTCATTACTTTCTTAATCTTAAAATATAAAATTTATTATAATTATTATTTTTTATTTTGTAAGAATACATATGAAATAAAAATAATCAAGTATTATGATTATTACTAAAATGATAAGTATTTAATTTAATTATTAATTTTTATTACTATGTAAAAATATATGTATTTTAAAAAAACTACAATTTATGTCGGTGGTTAGGGGAAAACTCGTTTCTCGTAGGGGTGGGGGATCAATTGTTACTCCCGACTAAGTTTGAGAGTAGAGGCGGAATTGATTCTGGGAGGAAGAGTGAGTTGGTAATGCTTAAATCCACCCATGAT